GGTACAATGTGTGAAGCCCATTTCTTTTGTCTTCCGTAGTGATAGTGTTGGAATATTGCTAAAATCGGCGGAAATCTAAACTCACTCACTCACACTCGTCATATTGATTAATGAGGAAACATGTGTGCAGCTGTTTTGTATACTGAATCCTTGTAGTGATTGTGTGTTCAACATTGACACAACAGATATCGCTTGTGTCAGATCAAGCGATATCTACAAGCGATATCTACATTGTAGATATCGTAACAACTGAACTGTCCTAATGCTATTACATCATCAGTTAATGACCTCACCACAATGATATATACAAGCGATATCTTCATTGTAGATATCGTAACAACTGAACTGTCCTAATGCTATTACATCATCAGTTAATGACCTCACCACAATGATATATACAAGCGATATCTTCATTGTAGATATCGTAACAACTGAACTGTCATGATGCTATTACATCACCAGTTAATGACCTAACAATGATATCTACAAGCGATATCTACATTGTAGATATCGTAACAACTGAACTGTCCTAATGCTATTACATCATCAGTTAATGACCTCACAATGATATCTACAAGAACTGAACTGTCCTAATGCTATTACATCATCAGCTAATGACCTCACAATGATATATACAAGCGATATCTTCATTGTAGATATCGTAACAACTGAACTGTCCTAATGCTATTACATCATCAGTTAATGACCTCACCACAATGATATCTACAATAACTGAACTGTCCTAATGCTATTACATCACCAGTTAATGACCTCACAATGGTATATACAAGCGATATCAACATTGTAGATATCGTAACAACTGAACTGTCATAATGCTATTACATCATCAGTTAATGACCCCTCACAATGATATATACAAGCGATATCTTCATTGTAGATATCGTAACAACTGAACTGTCATAATGCTATTACATCACCAGTTAATGACCTCACAATTGTATATACAAGCGATATCAACATTGTAGATATCGTAACAACTGAACTGTCCTAATGCTATTACATCATCAGTTAATGACCTCACAATGCTTTGACACCACTAACAACACAGCTAATAATGCTATGACGTTACAAAGTTGATGACATCCCAATGCTATGATGTCATAAAGCTGATGACGTCACAATGCTATGACCTCACTGAGATCACTGCTCAAGAAACCTAATGGCAGTTTTGTGTTCAGATAAATTCATTATTTTACTGATAACTGATGAAGAATGATTTTGGGTGATAAATAAAATCTCACCCTCGTGTCTATATCAACACTCGTTGATTAAACAGAAAATATCCTCGGCAACTTTAAAAAAACTCGTGTTGGTATATTTGATATCAGAATTCACTTGGGTAAGATTCTCTATATGTCCAACACTGATTTTCATATGCATTCCTGGGGAAGATATTATCTTACTTTATGAGATGGGTTGTCCAACTTTGAGTTTCATACCTTTAAGTGGGGAATATATTTTATTATCTAGGTCGGTGAGAGGTCCTGCAAATAACAGGAAACCTAAGCCGTACAGATCGTTGTGACATCAGATGACCTTTGTAGACTGCTGGTGGTAACACGTCTGGGCATCGTTCGACATAAGTGATCTTAATAACGAGTGAGTGAGTGAGTTTAGTTTTACGCCGCACTCAGCAATATTCCAGCTATATGGCGGCGGTCTGTAAATAATCGAGTCTGGACCAGACAATCCAGTGATCAACAGCATGACCATCGATCTGCGCAATTGGGAACAAATGACACTTAATAACGATGATCGTTTAGACTAACGCTTAGTCTCTGAATACATATAGTTCTGATAAAAGCAATTGAAGAGGAGCCCCGATGAGAAGGAAAATTCCTGAAACTGAACTTGCTTCAATTGGGGCTTTAGTATTGCAGAAAGGGCTGGGTGGCAGGGGAGATAACGCGGTTCAGGGACTGTGAGACAGACAAGGCTATGTTAAATATGGTAGTTAGGTAGCCTAACGCTTAGTCTCTGAATATATATAATTTTAAATCTAACAAATAAACCCATTTAATTTGAAAAAGTGCCCCTGTAAGATGGGAGATCCTGAGTATGAGAAAACATAGGCTGGCTTTCACTAAGGCTTTAGCATTGCAGGGAGGGCAAGGCAGTAGGGCGTAATGGGTTCAAGGACTGTGAGACAGACTAAGCTGTGTTGAAGTGTGGAAGGTTTTTGTTTGCTATATTTTCATGTAAAAAACAGAGACCAGTATGGAATTTAGGGTCACTCTCGCGCTGAGATCGCTTTAATGTAAGATGGTAATACTGCCCATATCAACTTACCCGAAAATCCCCAGAAGCCATAATTTAACCCATATGTCGTCATTATTTAACCAGACTGTTGACGGAACACGATGATCGTGTTCACCGGGACACATTCTTGTGGGTTATATTCTTAAGTTACGGGATTGCGAGATTGGTTACGAGGGCTCCGTAACAACCATCTCTAATGGCATCGGGTATGTTAATAGACTGCGAGTCAGCCCCATTGGGATGTGTGTCAATATGTATGTGAAAATACTTTTATATCCGACCAACTGTTTTTAGCAAGTATGCATGCACTCATCTGGCAGTCAGCCAAACAACTCGATCAACCATCGTGTAAACAGCTTAAAGAGCTCTTGGGTATTATACCAAACTTACTTAAGTAAAAACACACCCTCGTTAATCCGAACATAAAGTATTCACACCGTGAAGAACCAGGTTAGAAACTGTCTCCAGAAACTCATAATTGTTGGAAGAGGCGAGTAAGTAGATTGTTGGTCAGGCCAGCTGACGTGCTTGAAGCATGCCACATCATCCCAGGTGCGCAGATCAATGAGTGAGTGATTTAAGATTAAACGTCACATCGGCAATATTTCAGCCATATTGTGACGAGCGCAGATCAGTGCTCCTGATGTGAGTCACTGGATTCCCAAGTGTGGTGTCTAGGCCAGACTCGACCAGTTACAGACCGCCGCCATATAGCTGGAATATTGCTGAATGCGGCGTAAAACTCAACTCACTCACTCGCGTTAAGCAATAAACACATGATATAACTTTTCTAGTTTAACGAATCGTGACAGAAAATGATCGCGATAACGGTTCTAAACATATAATAACACAGCACATCTGAAAATCTTTGCCTAATATATATTGAAGTTGTGCTGGTACTTGATTATGTACACGTCGCTAAATACTCGCTTATAACGAACTGATGGATATAACGAATTCTTCCTTTTATCCAGGTCATTTGCTGTATTATTTTGTTTCAAATGCGTTCAAGGAAATACAATTATATCGAACTTAAGTTAATGGTCACTTTGACTTCGTTATAACAAAATTCGTTATCCGTAAATGGCCACGTCACTCCCATCCCCTCAATTACCGCAAGAAAAATTCTTTTATCCATCTATTTGCTCCACGTGTGTCTGTTCTACCTATTAACTGTTATATTGATGATATTGATTGGGCTATATTTAACACCGTCGTAACTTGTAACATTTATCACATACTGGGGCAATTTACACGATGCAACGAAAACGTCATGACGTCATCTGTTGTTGTTTGGGGTCATTGTGACCTTGAGATAATCCCTAATGTTGCGAAGATCGCGTTCACATCATACCGCCATCATGGAGGGGGGGGTGGGGGTGGGGATGGGGTTGTGGCGGCACTGCCAGTATAACAACATATATCCCCTGTATCAGTGGATAGCTCGCCCAATACTGTATCGCGTCGTTTCAAATTCTCTACGAGATGTTTATATATTTATTTGTATACTTTTTACAATATTTTGTAATGTTATCAATATTTTGTCAGCTTGGATATTCCACACACCGACTGGCGTTCACTCAATTTCTATTTCCGTCAAACATTATCTAATCCCCTTAGCCGAGAGCTCCGGCAATATAGCAGTAAATATGTTCATAATGTATTACTCGTAAGACGTAATTACTTGTGTTACTGCATTAAGACACTGAAACAGTATGTGTATATAATGTTATCATGAATTCTTGAGTTTTTCATTATTGCAATGCATATTGATAAACCGACTGTATTTAAAAGAGCATTTGTTTAGGAATCCCTGTCACGTGGTGATTAAACCCATAGACCGGCATTCTAAGCACCCTTGTTCACCAACAAACACAGTAAGTGAAACTGCACTTGTAAACTTACTCTCTCAACGACATTTACTTTCTGCTTGGCCCTTACTTAAAAAGCCTTAAATGAAACAACTATAGATTTTCCTCAAGTTTCTGAATTTCCCATCTCATTGGGCATTATAACCCATTCGAAGAATTATTCCACCAACACAAGAATTGGTCTCACAGTCCCTGAATCGCATTATTTCCCTTCCGTCTACCCCTTTCTACTTGAAGCAAGACCAGATTTTCCTCAAGGTTCTGACTATCCCATCTCACGGGGAATTTTGTCAGGTTAAAAGGAGTTATTTGTTTCTATTAAAATCATATATAATTACACTCAAAACGTAAGTCTTCAGGATGATGGTGACATTTTAAGATGGCAATAGTAATAGTAATAGTCAGTCTATATAGCACATTAATCCATGTGCTGTGCCTGCTCAGGAGGAGTTGGGGATGTTGTATATCATGAAGTATGATGACTTCTAGGCTGACACTGAGTCCGCAAACTCTAGCTTATTTAACTAAACCAACTATGTATAAACTATTTATTTACAAAACAATTACAAACGGAACAATGTTAAAGGAGTTGAATAATAAGAAAGGTATGATACTCTATGGATGACGGCTTCAATATAATGTAATGAAGAAGTTGTCATCCATAAAGGGACATACCTTTCTTATCATCCTAAATTCCATGAACGAGCTGAGACAATGTACCTTTGTCAAGGCATTCTAGATTCGGGGAGGACTTCTATTTGATGCATTCCCTGGGGTCTGGGAGACAGACTAGTAGATAACACAGTGAAATAAGATTTGTTGTAGAATATATACATGTAAATATCCCACCTTAGAACTTGCTCCTCCTTGGCTTGAGCGTTGAGTGATTCGCCGGCGGTGTCGCGTTGCGCTGCCTGTGGAGTGGAGAGCGGCTTGTCGGTGTCAACAATGTCAATGACGAGATCCTCGGCAACAGTAACGTCCTTGCCACCTTGTCCCTCCTCCATGATGGTGGGCGGCTTGCTGCTGATAAAGTTATCCAACATTACTCTTCCGAGAGAGCTGTCGTTCATAGTGGAGGCTGAACCGTTTGCACCCGTACCGCTACACGGGCTCCAGCAACCGAGAGGACTCTCTAACGGTCTGAACTATGACACGTGACCTATCCTTTGCCTTCAGCCACAAGACCCTCCAGGGGATAAGTTTTTCAGCGTGTATCTGATCTCACAGTAAGGATGTGTCTCCATACAACAAGTGTTAATCATGAGAGTCGGCTATATACCTTTACGCAAGTCCTGAAATATATACCTGCTTGTACCTAGGCGTTTGTACTTAACTGTGTCCAGCTGAGGGTGTTTTCACAGGGGTTGACCCGGGGTGGATTTGCTCATTGTTACATACAAGTCACTGTAAGATTACCCTAGGGTATACGGCTGGGATTGCCTGGGGGGATCGTGCCTGGTTCTACAAGGGATTTGTCTTAGAGCATGAATAGAATCACAGCGTGGGGCTTTGTTGGATGAAACGTATTAGTAGTAGGAAACAGAACGTCCATAATGTCAGTGGTAGTTGCCATTGTCTTGTTATGTACGTATGCTTGAAATAGTCGTAGTATTAGTAGTCGTAGTAGTAGTAGTAGTAGTAGTAGTAGTAGTAGTAGTAGTAGTGGTATTAGTATTAGTAGTCGTAGTAGTAGTAGTAGTAGTAGTAGTAGTGGTATTAGTAGTGGGTATTTATGATGCTCCATACGTTGAACCATATATGCTCAAGTAATAGTAGCAGTAGGAGTAGTCGTGGTAGTAGTAGTAGGAGTAGGAGTAGGAGGAGGAGGAGGAGGAGGAGTGGTGGTGGGTATTTATGATACGCTGAGCCATACTCAACCAGTATGTAGTTATAGTAGTAGTAGCAGTAGTCATGGTAGTAGTAGTGGTAGCAGGAGCAGCAGCAGCAGTAGTAGTAGCAGTAGTAGTAGTAGCAGTAGTAGTAGTAATGGTAGCAGCAACAGCAGCAGCAGTAATAGTAGTAGTAGTAGTAGTAGTGGTAGCAGTAGTAGTAGTAGTAGCAGTAGTAGTAGTAGTAGTAGAATTATATTTAGATATCATGAAGTCTGGTAAACATGGCATCAAACTTTCTTCCGAAGTAATCGAACTTTTCATGTTATTGTTTGCTGATGATGTCATTCTTATGTCAGCTCTGTAATTGGTCTTCAAAATCAACAGTTAGATATACTTTCAGCGTGTACAGATAAATAGCAGTTGAGTGTGAATCTAGATAATCGAACTTTTCATGTTATTGTTTGCTGATGATGTCATTCTTATGTCAGCTCTGTAATTGGTCTTCAAAATCAACAGTTAGATATACTTTCAGCGTGTACAGATAAATGGCAGTTGAGTGTGAATCTAGATAAAACAAACATTGTTATATTCCGTAGAGGTGGTCCTTTGTCGGCTAGAGAGAAATGGTTTTGTACAGGTAAACGTATGAATATTGTGAATGATTATAAATACCTTGGTATATTGTTTACCCATACGCTGAATCTGAATAAGTCTGTACTTAACCAGGCAAAGAAAGCTCTGTGACAACTACATTCTGTTGTTCCTATGCTCGGTGTTATTCCACCGACTATTTACTTCAAATTATTTGACTCTCAGATACAACCGATTTTACTGTATGGATCTGAAACATGGGGTTTTAAAGAGTATTATACCATAGAAAAAATTCATTTGCTTGCCTGTAAAATGTTTCTAAACGTTGGTTTGAGAACACCAAATGTTATGGTTTATGGTGAATGTGGGAGGTTCCCATTGTACATATCATCTTATTGTCGTTGTTTAAAATATTGGTGTAAAATAATTAATATGCCTGAACATCGTTTACCTAAAAAAGCCTTCAATATGCTTTTACATCTTGATTATCTTGGAAAGAATAATTGGACACCTCATATTCGCACCTTACTATTTAGATATGGTTTTGGTTGTATTTGGTTATCACAGACAGTTGGCAATGCAAGTATGTTTATTAGACAGTTTCGTATGCGGGCTATTGATATGTTTAAGCAGGAATGGCATTCAACTATTAATGAAAGTTCTAGATATGATTCATATCGTCAATTTAAGTCGTTGCTTGAGCCAGAGTGTTATCTTGCTCACCTTCAATACAGAAATATTCGCAATGCTTTTATACGTTTTAGATTAGGTCTTAATGATTTATTAATTAACCGTGGAAGATATGTCTCTATGGAAAAATCACAAAGATTATGCCCATTCTGTTACATTATTGAAGACGAATTCCATTTTATGTTTATTTGTCCTGTATATGAAAATCTCAGATATAAGCATCTACCGCAACTGTCTTTATGTCAAATCAATGTTAAACTATTGTCTTCCTTACTTTCCTGGAAAGAACCTCCAAAACAACACAAAGTAGCTCTATTTATCTACATGCACTTTTGTTAAGACTAGAATTGATTAGTTAGAAGGTTGATTATATATGTCATTGGTAAGATGTATCTCTCTTGTATATGGGCCTATGGCCTTTCATACAATAAAGAATTGAATGGAATTGAACTACTACTACTACTACTACTACTAGTAGCGTACTACTAGTAGTAGTAGTGGTAGTGGTGGTGGTGGTGGTGGATCCTATGGTGGTGCAGTATTTATCTAGCAAGCTACAGACCTGGCAAGTTGATAAGCGATCAATCACACATTCAGAAAAAATAAGCATTAATGGAAAAAGGAAAAACGACCAACGTTATAGTACGCCTTAATGAGTGAGTGAGTCAGTTTAGTTTCACGCCCTTTTCAGCAATATCCCAGCAATATCACCGCAGGGGACACCAGAAATGGGCTTCACACATCGTACCCACGTGGGGAATCGAACATGGCATCGTATTAGTATTCAAATAAATAGTACCTCGATATATTTACGACGCGTGAAAGCGTGTTTAGATGAATAAAGTGGAATCGATGTTTTTCTAAATATCCATTAATCTAAAATTACACATATGTAAATTCCCTATTAGTTATCTGTTCATACATACAGTATATAAGCAACCAAGGAAACGGGTGCGTGGATTAAGGGGAAATTACATTTCTTCATGGCGTCTATTAAACAAGTTCCATTTCAACAAAACGAGTGAATGAGTTTAGTTTTAAGCCGCTTTCAGCAATATTACAGCAATAGCACGGCGGGGCACATCAGAAATGGGTTTCACACATTGTACGCATTTTTGGAATCGAACCCGGGTCTTCGGCGTTGCGAGTGAACGCTCTAAGCTAGTACTGTCGGAAATAGAAAAAAACTGTATTTTCTCATTTATCTCTACAATTTATGTAGTTAATATGTGAAAGTGTGAAATATCTGTTAAACTAAGTTCGGCCTAACTACAGTCTCAGTGGTAGAGAGATAGGAAACGGAGAAAAAGGACTTTACTGAGGGGAAATTAGTGCAGAAATGAGCAATGCAGTTTTTTTCTAAGTCCAAAAAGATTTATTTGGAACAGACCATGGCTTTACGCAAATTAGTGTGCGACGATATTATATCACAAAGGACACTTTTTAAATGCCCAATTTGAAATTAGACGTAGATTCATTATAAACGATAGCTGACGTAAAAAATAATAACTTTTATGCCGAAACTATTAAGGATGTAGCTACCATGCAGTCTCCCTGTCACTATAAACAGAAACAGATAGGAGGGGTCGCCTCAAAAGCAAAACCTGGGGTCGGGCTTGGGGATAGAGATATAAGCTAAGATAAGATAATCCTTTAGGGCAATTATACTGGGGAGGTACACGGCACGTCATAACAATTTACAAATAATATCCAGTCCTGTCGATCTTCGGGTGGTCATGCCACTTATATACTACGATGTGTTTCTATGGTTTTCGGGTATCATACTCTCTTACATATCTCAACAAAAACTATATGAAAGAAAGACACGTAAGATGTTAATCAGTAGATGAGACATAGTCAACACACATGAAAAAGCACAAAATATCTTTGAGATGACCCATTGTCCCTGTAGACAGCACGTGCATTTCATGCCAGGTGAGTCGACGGTCCGTCGTCATACCTGGCTGAGTGACCTAATTGCCCTCTATAGTCTGATCTATTGTTTTAACTAGCTATTCGTATTTTTTCTAAGTTTTGCCCGATTTTACGAGTAAACATGCTTTTCTGGATATCGTATTACGCATCCCACTGAACGCACAGTTAGGCCGAAGTGGGTTATTTCGACATATGCTATTTGCAATTGTGTCAATTTTAGGGATACAGAGTAACAGCCTAAAAACAGGTTTTTTTCTATTTCCGACAGTACTATAGGCTACCCTCCCGCCCCTTCAACAAACCGAAATCAATAAATAACATTACTATACCTTCAAGAAATACCTTTTTGAATATAGACGACGTGGCGCTCACAAACGACAGGATGACAATGTATAAACTTTTCACGACACAGTCATAGCACGGCAGTACTCACAGACGGAGGTAGATCATATTCGTTTTCGATATACTGAAGTCAGATATGCCTGCACGGACGCTCACTCGTTACCGAGAACGTAGAAACGACGGCGTCGATTCGCTGATTAGAAAGTCACATGATCCGGCCTCACTTGGCGTGGTTGACAGGTCTTTTTCAAGTGGAGGGGTATCGCAACCGGGTAAAAGTCTAATTGCACTTGTTTTGGATAACCACTCTTCAAATCTATTTAAACTATGAATACCATGTCGCGTTAAATCAGTTCTTCAATCTTTCATTCGGAATGGTGTATGATTAGATCGGGAGCCGCTCCCAGAATCTACCGTTTCTTTAAATGTATCCTACTCACAGAGATACCAGGAACAGCCACAGTTTCAACGCCGTGTTTGAAACCCACCAACTGTGACTGAGGTATGGTCATATAAAACTATCAGGTTTTCTTTAAGCTATTCCGAGTATGACGCATACTGTGCCTACTTTTGAGCGTGGCCGTACTCGACTACAACACGTCTGGCAAAGTTTGAGTAATAGATTTCTGTAAACACAACACAATGAACATTCACCCAGGTCTTTGTATCTGTATTCCGTGCGTCGTGCTTGTTGTTAACCTGTCGTTGTGTGTTGGCTGACTGTAAGAGGACACTTTCTTTTGTAGTGAAAAAAGGCAGATAATGGCAACTAATCACGTGACAAATTCCAGATCTCTTCCACAAGGACTTTCAACCCTTATCGTTTACACGTGAACAATATTGTCTAGCGACAGATGGTAGTAGAGCGTGTTGCTGGGTGGCTGTCAGTGTGTGACTATCAACGTGGTTGTGTAACCGGTGTTGTCCGTCTCGGGGCTCACAGCTTAAGGCTGGTGTTGTTGTTGGCGATTATACGAGCACGTGATGGGACTGTGTCTGAGAACGACTATACAACGCTACTACAACGACTATATACATGTATAGAACATTTTATGCACCCCCTGACATATGTCACGCTTGAATGAGCCCCGATCTTAACCCTTTGGAGCATATCTGGGTCATGGTTGATCGTGTGCAACAAAGGGATCCTCCTGTAAAGAACATGGCCGAATTAAAAGCTGGTTTACACGACGAATGGCACTGACTGCCCCTTCAGAGGATCAGGAGGCTGACAGGGGGTACGAGGAGGGGAGTGCTGGTTGTCATACAGTCACATGAAGGTTATACTCGATATCGACCTTGAATCGTGTAAGACACGCAAACTGACATTTTGAGTGTTCACAATCACCAATAAACTCAACATTACACATTCCTCTGCCATACCTGTACAGACATGGTTTTGTATGAAAATCAGTGTTGTTTTAAAAATGAGCATTTATCTTCATAAAACCAACATGGATTCCAATTATGTTGCCGTTTGTTCTGAGTCAAGGATCTCACGTTTATCCATTGTGGTCGCCATGAGAAGTTTTATGAACGTGTTGAAAACCTGTCATTCCAAAAATACAGCATGGGGCTTAATTAAGTTCTCTGTGTGTGTGTGTGTGTGTGTGTGTGTGTGTGTGTGTGTGTGTGTGTGTGTGTGTGCGTGCGTGCGCGCGCGCGAGCACGTGTGTGTGTAAAAGATGGATCCAGGTATTTCTCCCTACCAAAATTCCCTCATCTGCGCAAGATATCTCTGGAGAGAGAGAGAGAGAGAGAGAGAGAGAGAGAGAGAGAGAGAGAGAGAGAGAGAGAGAGTTCGGTGCTAATACTCGTATATCAGTTTGGCAGGTAACAGAAACTAACTTAAGAGTTATTTCCCCCTAGATCTATTTCATTTGGACCGATATCCGGACTATGGAGACGTACTTCATTAAGTTCGACTGGCATCCAGCAGACGAACCCCAAAGTTACGGGAGTTTGACTGCAGAAATTAATGCATGTACCTCACATTGTTAGAGAGGTCACATTCACAATTACAGGGAGGCAACTCTGCACAGTTAATTTCCGCGCTTCAGATGACTGCGTACTTGTGTAGTCATTAACTCCACTGATATACATTGACCAAACAGTAGGACACTGTTCCGCCCGTGTGAGTCTCTGAATCTATAAGCCTTCACATCAGGGTAGGTCAGGCATTTTTGCTGTTGAAAATATTGATCATTCTCTAGATGATAAACCGATCCTGAAACGAGGTCACATAGATGGCTGTCGGGACTGTGTGTAAACAATAGGTGTTGAATTATAGAGGAGGACAGGCCGCTTTGTGATACGGATAAATAGACACATGATTGTAACCAAAAGACAGATGATGGTATGACCGGGGCCGTGGGCGAGGGTCCTGTGGGGGTGGGTTAGGCTGGCATGGGTGGGGTTGAGGAGGAGGGTTCGGTGGGGTGGGTTAGGCTGGGATGGGTGATGTAAAGGAGGAGGTTTCGGTGGGGTGGGTTAGGCTGGGATGGGTGATGTTGAGGAGCAGGGTCCTGTGGGGGTGGGTTAGGCTGGCATGGGTGGGGTTGAGGAGGAGGGTTCGGTGGGGTGGGTTAGGCTGGGATGGGTGATGTTGAGGAGGAGGGTCCTGTGGGGTGGGTTAGGCTGGCATGGGTGGGGTTGAGGAGGAGGGTTCGGTGGGGTGGGTTAGGCTGGGATGGGTGATGTTGAGGAGGAGGGTCCTGTGGGGGTGGGTTAGGCTGGCATGGGTGGGGTTGAGGAGGAGGGTTCGGTGGGGTGGGTTAGGCTGCGATTGGTGATGTTGAGGAGGAGGGTCCTGTGGGGGTGGGTTAGGCTGGCATGGGTGGGGTTGAGGAGGAGGTTTCGGTGGGGTGGGTTAGCCTGGGATGGGTGAGGTTGAGGAGGAGGTTTCGGTGGGGTGGGTTAGGATGGGATGGGTGATGTTGAGGAGGAGGGTTCTGTGGGGTGGGTTAGGCTGGCATGGGTGGTGTTGAGGAGGAGGGTTCGGTGGGGTGGGTTAGGCTGGGATGGGTGAGGTTGAGGAGGAGGTTTCGGTGGGGTGGGTTAGGGTGGGATGGGTGATGTTGAGGAGGAGGGTTCTTCGGTGGGGTGGGTTAGGCTGGGATGGGTGATGTTGAGGAGGAGGGTTCGGTGGGGTGGGTTAGGCTGGGATGGGTGATGTTGAGGAGGAGGTTTCGGTGGGGTGGGTTAGGGTGGGATGGGTGATGTTGAGGAGGAGGGTTCGGTGGGGTGGGTTAGGCTGGCATGGGTGGGGTTGAGGAGGAGGGTTCGGTGGGGTGGGTTAGGCTGGGATTGGTGAGGTTGAGAGGGAGTGAGTGAGCTTAGTTTTACGCCGCATTCAGCAATATCCCAGCTATATGGCGGCGGTCTGTAAATAATCGAGTGTGGACCAGACAATCCAGTGATCAACAGCAAGAGGATCGATCAGGGCAATTGGGAACCGATGACATGGGTCAACCAAGCCAGCGAGCCTGAACCCCCGATCCCTAGGTTGAGGAGGTGGGTTTGGTGGGGTGGGTTAGGCTGGGTTGGTGAGGTGGGGGTTATTACATTGGGGTATGCACATTATATGAAACCCTGAGAACAAGAAGGGTTGGTTTCTACAGTAGTCTAAGTTAACGCTCATCACGTACCGCATGTATTTCACTGTTCCAACTACTGCACGTACCCCCTTGTAATACAAACCAGAAATAGCGATTTGAAACTATAATCGCTTGTTAAACAACATTTATCCTAAGTTGAATAAAATTCTAAGATTTAAATGTTTAACTGGCAAGGTAAAAGTATGAGGATTTGCAATCTCAATTTCACTTTATTTGATTTACTTTTTTGTTTAAAGTGAAATTCATCGTCACGTTTTCATTGCAAACAGACTATAGTTGGGTTTACAATTCATCATTATGTTGATGGTGGGGTTTGTGGTGCAGTTCCTTGTTGGTCACTTGGACACATACCCAGGGACACAAGAAACGCCACCGAAGGTAAATATGTATTTCTTCTGCACCACGAGGTCATAAACCGTATACCAAATGGCAACCAATGTCAGGAGCCCCACAGGCATAAACACGAAGAGAAAAACCACGTGTTCCACGTTTGTATCGAATAAACTGAATGAACAGTTCCTTCTTCAGCAACCCAGGCTCGTAAGAGGCGACTAGACAGATCAGGCGGTCAAGCTCGCTGACGTGGTTGACACTTGTCTTCGTATCCCAACTGTGGAGATCGATGCTCATGATGCTGATCACATGATTGTTTCGATTGTTTACAGACAGCCGCCTTATAGCTGAGTGGAAACTAGCAAACAACAAACAAACAAAACACTCGATCTATGGAGCAACACTTTGTGATGGTGATGATGGTAGAACAATTCCCTATTGTATAGAAGAGCACAATTCGTTATGGTATATGAGAGAAATTCCCTATTGTATAGAAGAGAACAATTCGTTATGGTATAGAAGAGAACAATTCGTTATGGTATATGAGAGAACAATTCGTTATGGTATAGAAGAGCACAATTCGTTATGGTATAGGAGAGCACAATTCGTTATGGTATATGAGAGCACAATTCGTTATGGTATATGAGAGCACAATTCGTTATGGTATATGAGAGAACAATTCGTTATGGTATATGAGAGAACAATTCGTTATGGTATATGAGAGCACAATTCGTTATGGTATATGAGAGCACAATTCGTCATGGTATATGAGAGCACAATTCGTTATGGTATAGAAGAGAACAATTCGTTATGGTATATGAGAGAACAATTCGTTATGGTATAGAAGAGAATAATTCGTTATGGGATATGAGAGAACAATTCCCTATGGTATAGTAGAGCACAATTCGTTATGGTATATGAGAGAACAATTCGTTATGGTATATGAGAGGACAATTCGTTATGGTATATGAGAGAACAATTCCCTATGGTATAGTAGAGCACAATTCGTTATGGTATATGAGAGCACAATTCGTTATGGTATATGAGAGAACAATTCGTTATGGTATATGAGAGAACAATTCATGATGGTATAGAAGAGCACAATTCGTTATGGTATATGAGAGAACAATTCGTTATGGTATATGAGAGCACAATTCGTTATGGTATATGAGAG